CTCAATGCACTGGGGAAGAGGAAAGAGAAACCCACGTTTACTGTACAAGGCTCGCTCGCTCGCTCGCTCTCGGGCACTTGCCCACTGACGGCTCCTTTCATGTTTTCACAACTGCTTCCTTGGTGAGGAGGAGAGTGACTATAAATGCAGAAGGCAGCTTACAAATTATAATAATGATAGTGATGATGACGATAATAAAGCCAGGCGTGGCGGCACACACCTTTAATCCCAACACCAGGAGGCAGAGGCAGGTGGATGTCTGAGAGTGTGAGGCCAGCCTGGTCTACACAGTGAGTTCCAAGACTACCACAAAGAAAGAGTCTAAAAATCAATGGAAAGCTGAATGTTAGCACCATCATTCTTGAGAACAACTCTATGAAAAAAAACAGAACTATGAAATATTGATTCCACTTTTTTCAGTCACTTGATATACAGAATTGTATAAAACAAAGACAAGACTGAAACCCACCTTTTTCAAAGGAGTAGCTTGCCGCATATCATACAGTACTATATTCCTATCAGAGGCACAACTTCCCAAGAGAAATGTCTAAAAATAATTGAAACAATCACCAGTTAGAAGCCAGGGCTGGAAGCAAATGATGTCTATTCAAAGCACAATTATTTAATTATCTTTAACATTGATGTTAAACCCGCAAGCTGTTACACTCAATCCTACTTTATAAGGATATAATACATCACCCTTAATCTCAGCTAAGTAATGTATTTTCATGGTTAACTCTCCAGTAATATAGAAGAACACAATTAACTTACCTGCTCTTCAACTTAAGACTAAGTAACTGCTTTTAACTATTACAACACCGGTAAAAATTTAACTCTTCATTTAAACTCTTCTTTTGAATTATTTCCTTAATATAAAATTTTAGGAGTAGCATCAGCAAATCAAAAGTATAAACAATTTTATGACTTTTGACATTTAAGGCTGGTTATTTTTTGAAAGTATAACAACATCCCTGTAATGTGAGAATGTAGCTTTTATTATAATTAGATGAAATCAGGCAGTCGTTTATATGACAATATTTCCTAAACACTCAATTTCCTACCACTTTACAGGTGTGAGTTCTCTCCTTGTACCATATGGGTTCCAGGAGTCAGACTCAGGCTTCAGGCTGGTGGCATGTAGGCAAGTGTGCTTCCCTACTGAGCTGTCGCCCCACCTCTTAAGTCGGTCACTTTATGGCTATAAAAACCTTTTAGGATTCATTTATTTTATGTGAATGGTTTGTCAGCATGTATGCTTGTGTACTACATACGTGCCTGGTGCTGCTGGACTCAGAAGAGGGTGCTGGATGACTTGGAACTGAACTTACAGATGGCTGTGAGTCACGATGTGGGGGCTGGGCACCAAACCCAGGTCTTCTATAAGAACATCAAGTACTCTTAACCACTGAGTCACCTCTTTGGTCCCCCTACCCATCCCCTATTTTCTGAGAAAGTCCCTCACAGACCCTGCAGCTCACCGTTTGGCTAAAAGGCTGACTGCTAATGTAGGTTACAGGCATACCACTGTGCTCAGCTTTTCCATGTGTGCTGGGATCCAAACTCAGTTCACATGCTTACAGCAGGCACCACTTGGACAGCAGGCACCGCTTGGACAGCAGGCACCGCTTGGACAGCAGGTACTCCTTATACAGCAGGCGCTTCTACCCACTAACCGCTTCTCCAGCTCATGATCCCACTCTCTCTAACACTGTTCTTCCTCATTCATGGTTCCAGGTACCATAATTCTTGGCTTCTGCCTAATGTTACTCCCTACTGCAAACAAAGCAGGAAGAGTTATTTACTAAATAACTGTGTGGCCAGCTAACTCCTACTGTGTGCACACAGTTTAAATAAAATATCATAAGCTAATGTTTATGATCTGGCCTCCCTTCTTCTCAAAATCCTGTCTCAAAAAAAAAAGCCTTCGAAGCCCTCCTTTAGCTGCCACTTAACCTCCTACCCTTTCCTGGCTTTTCATAATGTTACCTTTGGTAAGACCAGGGTCAATTTCTTTTTTTTTTTTCTTTTTTTTTTTTATTGGATGTTATATTTACATTTCCTATGTTGTCCCCTTACCCCATCCCCCACCCACCCACGAACCCCCAATCCCCTCACCCCCCCCCCTTCTTCTCGGAGGTTGTAACCCCAACCAACCCCCCCCACTCCCACCTCCCCACCCTCAAAATTCCCACCCCCTGGGGCATCCAGCCTTCATGCGGTCAAGGTTATCTTCTTCCACCTATGCCCAGCAGGGCCCTCCACTCTTACATATTCAACTGAAGCGCTGGATCCCTCCCTAAGTGCTCCCAGGCTGGTGGTTTAGATCCTGGGAGCTGTGGTTGGTTGGTATTGTTGCTTTCCTCATGGTGCCACAAATCCTTTCAACTCTCCTTCATTCTTCACTCTAACTCCTCTATTGAGAACCCCATGATCAGTTCAATGGCTAGTTGTGAGCATCTGCCTCTGAGTATGTCAGACTCTTGGAGACCTCTGAGGAGATATCCATATCAGGCTCTTATCAGCATGCACTTCCTGACTTCCACATCAGCATCTAACTTTGGTGATTGCACATGGGATAGATACTCAGGTGGAGTGGTCTGTCCCTCACTTTGTCTCCATATTTGCTCCCTTGAGTAATTTGTTGCTCCTTCTAAGAAGGACCGAATCACCCCCACTTGGTCTTCCTTTTTTATGGGCTTCATGTGGCCTGTGAAATTATCATCCTGAGTGAGGTAAGCCAATCACAAAAGAACACACATGGTATTCACTCACTGATTATTGGATATTAGCCCAGAACCTTGAAATGCCCAGGGTCAATTTCTAAAACAAAGACTTTGATATGAACATAGCAAAAAGTTCCACCTAAACTTTCACACTGCAAAATATGGCAATTTTCAGTATTAACTTCTGGCTTTACCAGAATTTTAAGCTTTAATATTTTAACATAAAATTAATTATTGATGAATAGAGGAAATAACTCTACTCTATTTGTTCACGGCAGTCTGCCCTGCCCTTCCCATTAGCGTTAATACAGGGTAAGAGACGTGTACATGATTTGCTTTTATCACTAAGTCAATTCATAAGATTACAAAGAAAAAAGCCAGTGGACAAATGGAGATACTAAACAGGCAAGTCTGAAAAACACGGTCAAACAGTCATAAGCAGTAATGATGATTTTAAAATTGATCATCAGCTCTTCTAATATGTTCATCAAACTAGAAAAGTAATATTTGTCTGTCCCTTCAAAAAGAAGAAATCACTATCTGTCTGTGTTTACTGCTGTTTTGATAAAGACAAAATGCCATCTTATACTTAAGTAACCCTTGTTTAAAAAAAAAAAAATATATATATATATGTATATATCACAATTTATGCTCACAATAAACCTATAAAGTACAATCAGAAACATAATCAATCTCTGTATTTTAACATAAATAAATACAGAGACTTATGACTTGGCTGAGGTAGGTGGTAAGGCAGGCTTTAACATAGTATTTGTATCTGTAGCCTGATCTTATCTCGTGTCCATGGCCATGCTCTGTAAAGCTGGCTTACCTCTCAAGGCCTGACCTCACTTCCACAACTAAAGTGAACACCGGGAAGTAAGAGGAAGGTGCATCCAGGAAGACATAGCTCAGACAGAAATCCTAGACTGAGATCAACAAACTTTTTCCATAACAAGCCAGAAAGTAAGTATTTTACGTTTTATGGGCCATGTGATTCCCAGAGCAATCATTCAATTTTTCCAGTGTGGTATAAAAGCAGCTGTAGGCAGTACAGGAAGAGGGTCTGCTTGTGTTCTAGAAAGGCTTTATAACGTGCAGGGGAGTACACTGGCAGTCCCTGCTCTAGACCTGTATGTCACCTCATGCAGAAGTGTGCACACAGGTACACGCTAGGGCAGGGTAGCCTTGTCTGCTGGCCTCTTGGCAACGCTTCAAGCCCAAGTTCACCCTACTGCAGCACATCCTGTCCCAACAGCATCCCGGAATAGTCAGTCTACTCTGCTACTCTAGCTTAACCTTTCCTCCCTCTCAACCATGCTGGGTCTCTGAATATGACATTTGCATTTCAGGATTTTCTCTTACAGAAATTAACATGGTAACTTCCTATTAGCATGAAAGGAAAAGAATCCTGACTGAGTCTTCTGGACAATGAGGGTCATTTATTGTTATGTATTCAGAAAAACAGCAGAGAAAGATCGGCAGCCCAAGGACACATTGGCCTCTAGTTCATTGGCCCCTCTTCTCAAGTTCACATACAAACATATCATACAATAGCCGACCTCCAAGTCTGTATTAGATTAGGAAAAACTAGGAAACTCAGACTGTAAAGCAAAAGAAGAAAACCAGCCCACTAGAGGTCATGTGTATTATTGTAAACGCAGCAGCACGCTCAATGCTCACACTCATTGACCTCCAAGAGGCTTACGACAAAGGAGCGTTCTCCTCAGAGCACAGCAGTACTATCTGATGGAGCACCAGCGTGGGAACCATGGAAACATAAGGCTAATGTGAGGCTGAGCAAAAAAGATGACACGCTCCAGACCAGACTATGCCACCCAAGGTCTGTCTCAAAACCAAACCAAAAAGAAACAAGTATTCATTTAGAGTCTACTCTGACGAGCAGCTGAAATGTTACAGAACATATATATAACTTAGAAAAATTATTAAATGCTAGAAAGCCATTAAAATGTAGAAAATGTTTCCTAAACAGATAAAATTTCATGTCAAACAATAAACAGAACACATATTATTAAAAAGACCATTACCTCAATAGGATTAAATTTAACACTACTTATACTGTCAAATCCCCAGTTCATCGAGCACACGGGGCTGGTTCGTTCTTCATCCCAAATGTCTACTTGTTGTCCACATGTGGCAAAGACTGGGTCTTTCCAGTGATGATCAATGCCAGTATACACTGTCTTTAAAAGCAAAGAGGGTGTCACAGAGGCTCATTACGACTTTAAATCAACATATTTTAATTTTTCTTCCTACAAAGAAACTTCTTTCCACTTCTCCCACCTCCCTTTGCCACAAGCTGTGCAACTGAGTTGCCTACATCTGGAAAGGCACAAGGTTGGCATATCCAGAATGCAATAGGTGAGCTTCACCTTGGGAAAACACCTAACTGATCATGGTATCTCCCCTGAGGGTAAGTCTAAAGAAATTCTTTGAAGCCTTTCCTTAAAGGGCAAAAGAGTATCATAAAATGCTAAGGCGTTTTATAAAAATGAATCAAGTTTGCTTTGGAATTACTAATTTGTTACCACCTGGACATTTTTCCATCTTGTACACACATCCTACCTCCATTTCCTTTTAAGAATATTGAGAATTTGTTAAGACCTGAAACATCACCTACATATACACTGGTGTATAATAAATGGTGGCTTTCAAATGCACATATCTAAAGATTAAACCTAACTTCAGAATTTTGTCTGCTTAATGTAAGAATATCAGCATTCATTATATAAAACATGTAAGTCAAATGTTCTAAATCACTCTTAGGCTGTTATTGAACCCCATCTGACTTAGAGAACAACTCGTGAGAAGTGTAAGATTATACAAGAAGCACATACTACTCCGTGTTTCCTTGAGAAATTTTGAGCTTTGTATAAGATCTATGATGATAAAAACCAGAGAGAAACTAAGCCATTATTTTCCAAACATTTACCTTACACAGTTTCTTCTGTGACCTTCCTTTAAGAAAATACTTCATTGCATTCCCTATATGATCTGTAAGGCCTAATATAGCCAGTATTTATTAGCTATAGAGAAATCAGACTCTATTAGAAAGAACACCAAAGAGCTGTTCATATTCTTTAGCTTCAAAGAACTTTAATTACACAAAATGTTGCTTTTAAACCTTGTTTTAGCAAGCCAATTATTAAAAATAAACCCTCTGAGCTGTTACTTTTTTTCCCTTTTGGAATTACAAAAAAAGATAAAGAATTTTAATAGGCCAAGCATCATTCAATGTGTTCTGTACCTTTCCTAACACTGTGTACAATGGCTCCTCCTCCTCTCCGTAGCCTGGTCCATCCATTTTCCACTGCTTCACAGTTTTGTCATCTCCAACCTAGACACAGTTATTTTATGATGACTCTAATGACAATAATTGCAAACACAAATATCAAATTGCCAAGTATCTCATTTCAAATAGAAACATATACCATTCTTTCATTTTCACGTTTATTGATGCATTTATTTTCTACTTTAGCATAAAAAACTGTAACAAATATATAAAGCACAAAAAACCCACAACAAAACAAACAAACCCCAGTATGAGTAAAGCAAAAGGATAGGAACAGATCAAATTTAGGTTACATGAGAATAGTATTTCAAATCAGAATAAAAATGTATTATAATACAGATATTGGAATATAAGATCAATCATTTGGAAAAGTCTGACCCTGGTTTGGTGGCACACACCTATTATTTCAGCATTCAGGGGTTAAGGTAAGAGGATGGTGAGTTTAAAGCTAATAGAGGCTACATAGTAAGCTGGAGGATGACTTGCTATCCTCTCCCAAAAAACGAAAAACAAAATGAAACATTGAGGAGCGCTGGGATGGGCTGGAGAGATAACTCTGAGGTTAAGAACACTTGGTGCTCTTGCAGAGGTCTTGGGGTGGGTTTCCAGTACCCCCATCTCACAACTGCCTCTGACCCTAAACAATCAGATGCTTTCTTCCAGTCTCGCCTGTAGGCATGTGGTCCTTTTACATATAGTCAAGGCACATACATAGACATAAAATAGTTTTGTTTTTAAATTCTGTTACCAATGTGGTGGCACACGCTTTTTAATCCCAGCTGTAAGGAGGCAGAGGCAGGTGGATGTCTGTGAGTTGGATGCCAGTCAGGTCTACATAGTGAGTCTCAGACAAGCCAAGGTTTGTCTCAACAAAACACAAAAAGTAGGGGCTGAGGAGACTGACAGCTCAGCAGTTAAAGCATTTCCCCGAAAGCAAGAACAGTCCCTAGAACCAATCTAAATGTTGTGTAGGCATGGCAGCTCTCTAGTAATTTCAGCCTTAGAATTCAGAAGTGGGGATCCAGAAAGCAAGGCTGCCAGTAGGACTTGCCCCCCAGTGAGAGCTACTGAGAAAGAGTCCTAGTATCTGAGACTGAGACTGAGAGCTTACTATGTAGCGTGTATTAGCCTTAAACTCACCATTCTCCTGCCTTAACCTCCTCTACACACATAATTCATACGAATGCATATACATGCACACGCCACATACATAAAAAGATGAGCAAAGTAAGTTGAGCCAATACAATACACAATACATTTTAGATCATTTCAAATGCAAAAAAAAAGGGAAACAGATGAAAATGCTCTTGAGAAGGCACCATTGTATAATCTTAAAGTAGACAGAGCCCTTCTCTGCTGTCATCCAACTACTCCCTTATTAGCCTTCAAACCCAACTACAGACCTCTGGAGAAGCTCTCAACATCCCACAAGATCATTCCTTCTCACTGTGCTAAAGTTACAGAGATATTGAAACCTAACAGTGATTACTAATGTTACCTCAGGCCAAATCAAAGTGAGTCAAAAAACTGGTAATTTAGACTTGGATGCTTAGTAGCCATGTTTGAGACAGGTGAAGTAAGAACTCAGACAGAATGTGCACTAGAATGTGGCTTGTGGTTAATAACACAAACAATCATGTATGTGCTACTACACAACAGTTAGCAGCTTTATCTGAAGAACATGGAACCAGAACCGCTCTGGACTTGGCAGTACACATACATAGGTACCTAATAAACACTTTGGGTAGGAGACTCAAGGCCAAACTTTTCAGACCCATTAACTGAAGATAATTTCATACAATAGTTTTAATTCTCTGTGTATGAAGCAGTTTTATAGTCTTTCACTTCTGCTATCATACTGATGGCTCAAAGAGTGTCCTAGATTTCAGATTTTTTTATTAGTGATGCTCAAAATGTGCCATATTCCAGGCTTCAGTTTAAAATGTACGTCTATTACTGTATCACACACGTTTACTTCTGCCTATCTCAAAGTTTCTAGTCTCAGAATAACATCTCTGCCTTTTCCCCTGCAGCTTCCAATCTAGGACTAAAGTGTTTGACCTTTTATGCTCTATATAAAAGCGAGATGCTATAGTGTTCTTTTCATGGCTGGCTTATATCACACAGCATAACATCCACACTGCTGCAAAAGACAGGATTTCCCTTTTTTCTAATAGTTGAATATATCCATATACCAAAATTTTCTATATCTAGTCATTTATTGATGGATACTTAAGAAGGCTTTATTCATTTTGAATGCTTTAAAATATAACCACAGTTCCCCAAAAATTATCCAGTAGGGTTGAAAATTAAGTTTAATGATAGAGCCTTGTCTAGCATGCACAGTTTGTTTGATCCCCAGCTCCATAAAAAAGGACAAAAACATGCTGTAAATAATCTGGCTGGGATATTATTATTGTATCAATTCAAATATCCAGAGAACGCCAACGGGAAGAACAGAAGTCTTAGCTGCCGGCAGCTCTAGCTGGCCACCCAATTCCTTTTACCATCTATAGCGCATTCACTGGGTCACGCAATTCTATCTGCTCTGTGGCTACTGTGTTTTCCTCATTAAGGAGAGGCATTCTTCAGTCCCACATCCGTGACATCATTTATTTTTACATTTTCCTCATACTGATGTCATACTATAATCTCAATCATTAACTCTGTAGTGATGATGCCAGGGTAAGTTCTGACTTTTCTTCTAAGTCCCAGAACTTCACCTATAAAGGACAGTCAGCTTCACACAAATAACCTGTAGCAAGTCCAATTCATCACACCAGACCCTCCCTCTCCTCTAAACATGCTGGTAACTGCTGACTTCTCCTTTTCCATGGCAGGAATGACTCATGAAGCCTCCAAAACTTCATTCAACCTGACCACTATTTTTTATAGGTTTTATTCACCAGGAAGCTCCCAATTATTGCTTATGCAAACAATGAGAATTGCCTACAAACTGAGCATGTACTGCTTTCAAAGCAATCATTTTAAAGCACAGCAGGGAGTCTGATGTTCATCTGTTTTAAAACCCATCAGTGAATCTAAACTAGTATTGATACATCAATATTCATAGCAGTATTACTCAAAATAGCAAAAAGGTAGAAACAAACTCAAAGTTCATCAATAAATGAATGGGTTAAGAAATGTGGTATAACTACATCACTGTTAATATTATGCAACTTGAAAAAAATAACTTTTCTAACATATGCTACATCATAGAGAACCTTGACTTCATCATGCTAATTGAGTAAGGCCTAGGCAACTGCACATACAAAACTCCTATGATTCTACTTCTGTGGAGCACCTAGAATAACCAAATTCTGAGAAACAAAAGTAGAAGAGCTGCTTCTGTGTGGGCTAAGAGGAGGGTACGGGAGCCACTGCTGAATGAACACAGCTTGATGAATGTGCAAGGTAAACTGGCACAATATATAAACATACCAAAGGTTACTAAACTGCACACTCAGAATCAGTTACAAGGGCAGATCTCTATGTAGTTATTCTTCCCTGTGCACATGCTTCCCACTGAGTCCTTGCTGACACACTACAAATTATTCATCTTAGCACTAAACATTTTCCACAGAAAGCCAATCATTCTACCATTGTCTTAATCCCATTAACCACACCTCTCAGAGCTTAGCATATTAGTTCAATGGTGTATAGCACTTGTTTATAAAAAGGTCAAAAATAGTAAGTATGAGTAAGGCTGGATTACTTAAAGAAAACTAGGACTTTTCCAGGTTTAATGAACTCTCTAGTACTAATGAGCTCCACAGGCCGTTGCAACAAATAAATGAACTTGAAAATAACTTATGCAATTAGATTTTTCCTGTGCAGCTGAGACTTAATGAGTTAATAGTACACTCACAGTAAAAAAAGAAGTCCCACAAAAGCGAGTGCATATTCCCCGTACAAAACCTTCATGTGCTTGTATCGTTCGGAGGCATTGTCGTTTAGTCAGGTTCCAAATTTTAACCTATGATAAAACAGAAAATTCAGAGAACTCTAAATGTTAAATATTTTAGAACTTCCACATTGAAAGGGCTATGAACTACTCTACCAAGCACTAAAACCAAAATCCTTTGGATTATAATAATGTACTGTACATGGACAAATATATCAACAACAG